GGGAGGCGGGGAGGGGACCAGAGGTCCTGATTCTGCTGCTGGTGGGTCCTGTGGCCTCTTCTCCAGGAGCGGTGCGTGTGGGGGCAGCACCGCGGGAGGGGCTGTGTCCTGCTGTTTCCAGTTCCCTCCTGTGAGGGCCTCTGGCCCCCCCTGGGCCGGCCCCCACACTGAGTGGTCCCCCCACACTGGTGCTCAGGGGGGTTCCCTGCTGCTCCCCTGGGCCCAGGTGCCCAGAGCCAACATGGTCAGCCCCCGGCCAGGTCCAGGCCCCCCTGCACTCCCTCCTTGGCTGAGCGAGGCCGTGCCTGAGCCCTGTCTCCAGCAGGCTCCCCTCGCCGGCCCGCAGCTCTGTTCACGTCTGAGACCCAGGGGAGCCCTGCGACCTCCTGGTGCCGTGTGCGCCCCGGGAGGAGTAAGTGGTGAGGGCGCCACTTGCCCTGGGCCTGTCCCCCCTCAGGGCGCCCTCTGCCTCCAACCCGCCTGTCACCATCCTCCTGACACTTGCTCCTGGGAGTGGCCTGGCAGTGCTGTCACTGGTTTGTTGAGTGACAGGGAGCGAGAGGGGTGGGACAGGACGTCCCCCTGAGGCTGAGGGGGCAGGGAAGTGCCGCTGAGGCCGACGTGGGGCTGGTGGCAGAGATGACCACAGAGGCCCAGGCCTGCAGCTCCTCCCTCACGGTCCGCACTGGCCTGGGCTCGGGCAGGTCACCCTGCAGGCTAAGCAGCCGTGGGCAGTGCAGGGGTGGCACAGTGCCTGGGCCTGAGGCTCTGAGTGGTAGCTCTCCGGTCTCCCCTGTGCCCCATGCATCCCGGGGTGCACCCCATGCTCTGTGCATGTTTGGGAGGCTGGTGCTGAAGGGGGTTCTCCTTGGCCCCCCAGAGGCCTGGCCAAGGCTGAGTGCCCTGCACAGGGCCAGGACTGAGCGATGGGCTGGCCCTGCAGAGCCACCCTGGCCGGCCCGGACGGTCGGGAGGAGAGGAAGGCGATGGCGGGGCTGATGAAGCGCCCGTCCTGTGGGGGCTGCACCCCACCTGGCAGCCCCTGGGGCTCAGGGGGAGGGCGCTGCCCTGCAGGGTTGTGGTGAATGGTCCAGGGTAGCTGCGGCTGAGGCTCCCCCCACCT